GACTTTAAAGTATTTTAATGGCAATGAGGCATGTAGCACAGCTGCTGAAAAATGCTGGAGTTTAAAAAGAACTGCTGAATTAGATCAGACTATAGATGTACTAACTTCAGAATGGATGTCAAGAAATGTATTGCTTTGAAGAAGAGGTTATGTCTGTGTTTCCACAAGAGAAACAAAGCTATGGATTCCATCAAAGTTAATTAAGATTAGATTTGACCAGGAGAGACTTCCTAAAAAAATCTTGGCTACAGCCATGAAGGAAGAGGCCAGAAAGAACAGAATAGGTGACATATATGGGAACAGCTCTGAGACTGGCTGAGACATGTCTGTGCATGGCCAATAAGTTGTGTTTGGCTACAGAGTCCTCATGACTTATTTTTAGATACCATGCTTTCATATGACATGGATAGATATTTATATTTCAGTGTGATTATGCAGTCCAAATGGACTTATAAACTTTGATGCCTTTAACCTTCTCAAACAAAGAATCATCGCTAGCTGATTTGTGCACACTGTACTTTCCACACATGTGTTAATGCAGAAATGTATATTACCTTTAAAAGTTTGTGTGTTTTCAGAGCCAAAACATCAGACACCAATGAAGACAAGTAGCCCAGATTATCCAGCCTCACAGTCAGCCTCAATAGCTATTTTCTCGAAACTCTACATCTAGAACAACTTCAAAACAGCTAGCTAAGGTGGTTCAGCCTCATAGACTTTTCCAGCCAGGACTTCAATTAAGTCCTACACTTTCCCATCACGCAGAGACTGGACAACAAATGATACAGCTAGTTTTCCCAGGACTTGGCCAATATTCCAATTTTCTTAGGGCCTCCAAAAGGTGCTGTTACCTTCAGACAGACCCCATTCCCAAGAGGTGGGGTGGGTGTTTTTTGGTCATTTTGGGGGTGATAGATGTTTGCCATTGTTTAACGGGTATTGGTTGCTAACTTGTAAATGGTCTTGGTCAGGGAGAAAACAAAGTAAAAGAGGTTAGATTCAGAGATTTCTTTTTTTTTTCTTTCCTCTATCCTTCTTTCTCTTCTCTCTAGTGCTGGGAGGAAGGGGGAGAAGGGGTGAAAAGAAAAAAGGGGGAATGTAAGAATGATAGAATAAATGGTAGACTAGAAACCAACAAGCAACTCAAATAGTTTACATTGGTACAAATTATTGTGTATTGATACAAATTTAAGGTTTATTTTGTTACAACATACTATGCATATGTTTCAATTCTTATTTAAGGTCTTGTACTTATGCAACTCATTTAAAAATACAATGTGAGGCTCTAGTCCTTTTGAAAGCTACTATTACAAACTGTTTACTATAATTAAGAAATGCAAGTTAGTAGTCGGTCAATCAAACCTGAAGTCATGTTGGGTACTAGTTTAGCTAATTACAGAAATAAGCTTTAGCCTATTATAGGTATTTTCAAAGTTAAACAGATAGTAAATAGCTGGAAACAAGCAATGTTTGGCTATTCAAATATACTGAGAGATATAGATCGTCTTCAAAACTTGAGAGATATGGCATTTAAAGATGTTTTAATAATAAAAGGCTTTTTGAGAGTGAGACATGTCTGCTCCTACCAGCACCTCAATATTACTTCAAAGAACATCATGTACATTGAAGAATCTCCGTATGGAGTTTGCTTCAAATGTGGCAAAAGCCACTAGGCAAACAAAACAAAACAAAACTGTCCTTGCCTCTACTGCTGACAGCATGCTGTCCAAGCTGTGGACAAGCAGTCCACAAAGAAATTCGACTGCCAAACTTTGTCAAGACAAGGTAGGTAAGTCCTTCATAATTCCTGCTTCACAGAAAAAAAAATCTGTCAGATATTCTGGGCGAGTAGGCTGAAGAGATGGATGCTCTAACATTGCAGAGGTATCTTGGATGTCTGTCCAGGAAGCTATCAGTCTCTGTCATTTCTATAGTTTTGGAAGATGCTTGCTCTGTACTTCCTGTTTACTTGGTTAATATTTGTCTTTCTCAGGTCTCTAGTGGGGTTGAAGACTAGCTAGTTATAGTTTCACAATTAAGCTTAAGTAGTTAGGATTTAAGAAAATGTTTTAATGTCTTAAAAGATTTTTTAGGTTGACAAATGCAAATTATGAAAGCTAGAGATATAAAAGCTTAGAATAGTGATTAAAAAGTGATTTAGGTACAGAACTTTGCATTCATCAAGATAAGATATATGATAGTATTTTCTCCAAGGTTGGCAAATACAAATGGACTGGACTTAACGAATGTAATTCTTACCTAATAGCTCTCATTGTATTTTATTAATGTTAGAGAAAGAGCCTTTTATTGGACTAAGGGGGAGGTGTTGGGCTGATATTTTTGTGCCCTGTGTAAAGATTGTCCCTGTATTATTAAAACGCAAATTCCCATACTTGCAGAGATCAATTACAGGCCAGACTTTGCTATTGTTATCCTTTGGCTGCATCATATTTTCTAAACACTCCTTCCAACTCCTTCTGACTGGTTGTAGAAAAGAACTGAACAGCCTACAGCAAAGGCGAGAGTTGGAAAGGCAGGACTTCCAGCAGAGATAGGAATTCTGGGGAAGAAAGAGGTAGGGGGTTATGGAAGTAAAAGGTATGAGGTTACAGAAACCAGCCAGATATGAAGAAAGAAACAGGGTGCCAGGACTGAGACCAAGGAAAGGTAACAAGCCACGTGGCAGAACGTTGATTAATATAAAGGGGTTAATTTAAGATAAGAGCTAGTGGGGAACACGCCGAAGCTATGGCCAAGCATTAATAATAAATACAAAAAGTCTGTGTGTCATTCCTTGGGAGCTGGTGGTCCAGAGAAAAGCCCTGCTTTAGCAAGGCCACCACTGTTCCTGTGAATATACTGAGGCGAGTACGGCTCAGGGGCCTGCCCAACTTAAGCTGGCATAAACAATAGCCCAAAGCCCCCAGTTTATCATAACCCTCTGGAGGCCTGTGATGACTATCCATCACTGTCAACTTGACTACCTCTGGAATGAACTAAAACCCAAATGGCTGGGTACACAGGTGAAAGATTTTTTTTTTCCTTAATTAAATCATTTGAAGTGGGAAGAGCCTCTTTAAATCCAGATCTTTGAGGTGGGAAGATACATCTTTAATCTGGGCCACACCTTCTATTGGCAGCCTATATAAAGAACATGAAAGAAGGAAGTTTTTTCTTCTTTGCCTGCTTGTTCTCGTTCTTGCTTGGCAAGTCCTTTCCTTCAGCGGCACTAGGGCCTATTTCTTTGAGATTCTGATGACCAACTAAGACATCCAGCCTCATGGACTAAATAACTACTGGATTCTTGGACCTTTTGGTTGGTAGAGAGTCACTGTTGGACTAGGCTGAACCACAGCCTGTAAGTCATAAATCATATATATATTTCTATAAGTTCTGTTTCTCAAGAGAACCCTGACTCAAGGCTCAATCAAGCTCTAAGTTCAGGAGCAGCAGCGTTACACTTAATCCAACTCACAGAGAACCCTGGTGACTAGTCAGTAAGTTTTGGAATCTGAAGTAGTAGGAATCATCAATAGCAAAGCTCTTACTATATACACACAGGTTCTCCCGACAGCTGAACCCCCTACATAGGAAAAGGGTCTCTTCATGGCTGAACCCTGTGTTGCTGTGGGCTGGGCTTAGACTATGATGGAGTGAGGTCTTCAATATGCAGTAAGGTCATCACTTGTTTCTAGCAGATACATATTACATCATAAATCAGTCTTCCTGTGGAACTTCTTTGGAGGAAGGGACATGGTGACAGACACAGCCCACACCTACAAGATAAACAGTCATTTACTGCCAATAGCACTCTATAACCAGGCAAATACTGACTATATGTCAACCAAGGGTTTGTGAGCAGAAAAGATCTGAAGAGGGTATATACTTTGGTTTCCTGGTTAGACAAAATATTACCAAAGAAACCAATATGCATGAAGATCAGACATTGCAGTTACAACTCTATTTCTCTGCATTAACTTATTTTTATTCTGCTAAGAGAAGGATTTCCATGTGTCATCACTGGAACCATTTTTCTGGCTAGTTGTAAAACCAACTGAACTTTTGAAGATTTTAATGGGAAAAGAGAGGAAGTCAACTTTTCCCTCACTGCCTCCCTTCCTTCGGCAGCATCACCGAAATGTTGAAGCAACTTGTGGCTTCTGGTTATATCCGTGTCCAGCCAGTGTTTCCCTTGGAATAATACCATCACACCTTAAACACTGGCTGAGCTGTCAGCCCGCTTCATCACACCCCACTTCATCCCAGGAATGCAACCCTCTGGGCAGGGAGCTAGCTTCACCTTCCGGCCCTGGTGGTAAGGATCAAATCCTGAGCCTTGAACAAGCTAGGGCCTTACCACTGACCTGTGTCCAGAGACTCTCTTAAGGAGCTCAGGCTGGCTTTGAAATTTGCCTGAAAAGAGGGCCGTCTGTCTCCTGCCTCAGTTTCCAATAGTGCCATGATTACTAGAACAAACCTGTAAAGTCCCCTAGAATCCAGAGTTTCGGGTTGAGGCGTGCGAATGGGTTCTGAACTACACACACTGTATAGACGGTATCATTTCCCAATGCCATCAGCCCAACGCTGGCCTCAGAGCTGAACAACCCAGCAGAACTTTAAACGGGAGAGAAATAAACCCCATGCGTGGACAGCTCCCTTCACAGGAAGTCCCCTTGAGCTTAGAGAGGGCTGGAAGGAGGCCTCGCCAGATCCAACCTATGGTGGGCGGGTTATCTGCGACGTCTCTTGCACAGCGAGGTGATGGAGCCACGGGTTGGGGGTAGCGGCTCACTTTCATTTTTTTGCAGCGGATCCCAGGTAATGGTCTTCATCCCTTAACCAGCTCTGGTGCTGAAGCGTCAGTGCCCCGCTCCCCAGGTGACAGCCAGGGTGAGCTCCGCGGCTGGCCCGCCACCGCGCGGCGCCCGACGCTGCCGCTCCACACCTAGGGCCGAGCCGAGCGCGCCCCGCGGGGCGGCGGGGAGCCCGGGGAGACTCACCTGCAGCAGCACGGCCAGCAGGAAGCACAAGTACATCTGGTAGAGGCCCATCTCGCCCACCGCCTGGAACGCCTCCTCCACCTCCATGGCGGGCTCGCGCCCGAGCGCCGGGGACCCGGCGGGGAGGGGGCCGAGCAGCGGGAGACGCGGACCGAGCGCTGGGCGGGGCCCGAAGGCCGGGCGAGGCCGAGGCCCAGGCCCAGGCGGGACCCCGCTGCCCACCGAGTCCCCCCGGGCGCGGCGGGGATGCGCGTCCGCTCGCTCGGGCGCGGCTTCCCCGCTTCCTGTCAGAACTGACAGGGAATTTTTTTTTTTTTTTTTTTTTTTTTTTTGGCGAGCGGTTGGCTGGCGCGCGCGGAAGGAAGGAGGAAGTGGGTGCGGCGCGGGAGGCCACGGAGGCTCGCGGGAGGGGCCGGGAGCTCCACGCCCGGGTCCTTCGGGGTTCGCCCCTTCGCACCAAGCGGTGGGATGCGGAGGACGCTCGGCGCTCCAGAGCCCTCGGAGGACGGGCCCGGAGGCATCCCGGGCCCCCTCCTCGGGTTAGGTACACGGTCAGATGCAAGCTCCGCGCCACGACATACCCGCTTGCAGAAGTGCCCACAAGGCCCACGGACAGGACACGGGGCACGTCTTGGCTGCGGGCTGGAGAGGTGTAGGCACTAGTGTTAATCTCCTCAAGCCCCAGCTCCTGATCCTCTTTTGTTTTGAATAGTTGCTCACTCGTCCAAGTATCTAGTTTAGATACTGGGTCGGGTCCAAAGTGGGTCGGGACTTCTTTTGGGGGGTGAAAGACCCTTTCACACACATCCTGCATATTAGGTATTTACATTACGTCGTAACAGTCGCAAAGTTACAGCTATGAAGTAGCAACAAAAATAACTTTATGGTTGAGGCTCACCCCAACACGAGGGACTATATACTAAAGGGTCCCAGCCTTGGGAAGGTTGAGAACCACTCATCTGAACCATCTCTCAGCTTGCCTTTGTTTTCTGTTGGTGTGATAAAATACCATGACAGAAGCAGTAAGGTGGATGGGGTTGGGGGGGGGGGGGGTATTTGGCTCACATTTCCACTTACAGTCCATCGTTGCTAGGAAGTCAAGGCACCAGGAACTTGGACAGCTAGGACCATGACATTCACAGTCAAGAACAGAGGGGAGAATGTGTGCTCGCCAACGATCAGCTAACTCCTTCCTTTTCTTTCATTCAGTCCGGGGTCCAACCCCTGAAACGACCTTATCTGTATTCAAAGGGCGCTTTCCTAACTCAACCCAGTTAATTTTTTATTTTTTTTTTTCCTTTAGAAACATGTCCAGGGCCAACCTAATCTAGACTGTTCCTCGTTGAGACTCCCTTCCCGGTTGAGGCTAGGTTTTGATAATTAAAACTAACCATCTCCCAAATATAATGCAGAGTATAATGGATGACCAGGAGGTCCCTTTGTCTTGCCAGCATCCTTGATGTGCTTCTACAATTTTCCATTAATTCTGATGTCTACCCTTTGCTGGTCATCTACCTAATTATTTTAGCAAAAGGATTCTTAAGGTAGTTGAGTAGGCGAGGGTTGGAGGTGGTGAGTGCAGTAGCCCACAGAACAGGAATTGAAGTGTTTAAGCCAGTGGTGGCACAGGCCCTTAATCCTAGCACTGGGGAGGCAGAGCTAGCCTAGTCTACAAACTGAGATCCAGGGCAGCCAGGACTACACAGAAAAACCCTGTCTGGAAGAACAAAAAAAAAAAAAAAAAAAGGAAATACTTGGTAAAACTTTCCTTTAACCAGTGTCTAGCTTTCTTAAGGCACTTTTACTATTTTTTTTTTTTCTAAAAATGTTTCAGTTTTAATTTATGATTGTTTGGGGAATAAAGTTGCTCCTTTTGCTCCCTTAAGTCATGATCTGGCTGTATCTATACCTCACTTTTATTATTTTTCTTGTGACTTATTTAGTGTGTGATACATTGTTATTATTTTTTAAATAATTCATTATTTGTTTTGCATTTTCCCACATCGTTCCTACACAGGAAATATACTATAACAATGTAGTTTGTGGACTTTGAATTTTTCTTATATTTAGTTTTGTTACTCTGTAATTCTTTTATGAGCTAGATAGCCTCAGTGTTTGGGGTGTTTGCTTTTAAGTCTCTCCCTACTCATCTTTGTTTTATTTGTAGCCCAGGTTGGCTTTGAACTTGTTATATAGCCAGGGGTAGCCTTAAACTACCGATCCTCCTGCCTCTGTCTTCTGGAAAGCTGAGACAAAAGGCCTACAGTACTACACCCTGCTACAGTTCTCCTTTGTAAAAAAAAAAAAAAAAAAGTAATTATATTAAAGGGTATGCCATTATTTACAAGTTTTCCTAAGCAATATTTTGTTTTAAAATATTTGATAACATTATAATTTGTTCTTCAACCAATCAGTTACACTTTAGAACATTCTTTTTAACTATTCAGTTAAAAATTGTACCATTTTAACATTTTTATTATTTATATGAACATTTCTTGGACAGAGAGAATATTAAATCCTTGAACTGTCTGACCTACCATGTATTCATTATAAAACAAACAAACAAAAGAAACCAAAAAACTGCATCATATGTATTGAAAATAACATATGGTTTCCATTTGTTGGGTTCAAGACATCTGTAAGTTAGTACATCATCCTTGTGCTCTTACTGAAATCATTAGCATTCATACTAAACGTTTCTCAAGGGCTTAGATCAGTTTTTAATAAACATATCAACATCTTCCAGAATTATTATTTTTATCTTTATTTCATTCTCTTTTAAACTCTTTATAAGTTCACAAAAGGACAATCTAGCTGCTCATTTGTCTTTATTAACGCTTCCCTTATAGTCTTATATTCTTACATCATCTTATTTTCATCTTTTGGTTTTCTGTTTTTTTCTTCAGGTTGTTTATGGAAGAAAGACTTCCTTTTCCCATTCATCTTGATAGTCTCTAACTTTCCATTCAACTCCATAGTCTATTGTTTGTTTCTTTGTTTTGTCTGCTTGGTTTGTTTTTGGATGTTGAGTTCTTTTTGAGACACAGTCTCCTTGTTCAGCCCTTGCTGGCCTGAAACTTGCTTGATATGTAGATCAGGCTGGCCTTGAACTTACAGGGGTCCACCTGCCTCTACCTCATGAGTACTGAGATTAAAGATATATACCACTACACCAGGCCTTTTAGTAGAAGAATAAATATCTCTATATTTATCTTGAATTATATAATCAAAATTATTTCCACCATCCTGTTCTGTGTTTCTTCTACTTTCTTGGCCAACTGTTAGATTATTACATTATTTTTAAAGACAAGGTCTCACTATATAACCCTGGCTGGCTTGGAACTCACTTTGTAGACCAAGATGGACTTCAGTTCAGAGATGAACCTTACTCTCTACCTCCCAAGCACTGGGATTAACTGTTTTTGTAATCCATCTTCCTTTTGCTACTCTGGGAACATTACATTATTATTTGTGTTTTGGAAGTTATACCTAACTTTTTTCTTAACATCTATATAACTGTGCACTTTTCTACAGTGTTTATATTTATCAGTTTTATATAGATAGACTCTATGTATGCATCTTCTTTCCAAAGTGATTAAGAACCTACACAAGGCTTCAGGAATACTGTGTCTGAGAAAACTCAGGAGGACATAAAGATGTCACACTCTGGAAATATTTGTAAATGATTGTCAGCTTGACAAGTTTTAAATTATCTAGGAGACAACTTTCTGGATATGTCTGTGACGGTGTTTCTTGGGAGGCTTAACAGAGGTGTGTCCTCACATTTAGAAAGTGTGGGCTGCCATCTCAGGATGAATAAAAAGAAGAGAACAATTAAGTACCAGCCTCCATTTCTCTGCTTCCCGAGTCTCTAACCCAGTGATTCAAGGTTCAAGTGAAGCGTTTTGATTAGAAAAATTCAGTAAAAAAATGTATTGCTAGAAATAATTATCCTTCATATAGAGATAATAAGAAGGCAAAAAGCTGTTTTGTTTTGTTTTGTTTTGTTTTTCATTGTTGTGATGATGTGTTACTTAACAGGCCTAGAGTAAGCTCCTTTAAGCTATGGGTTAGCTTACAGATGTTGTGTGTGTGGAGAGACATATAATTATACCTAACAGGAAAGATAATCTGTGATTGTTTTACCCTGTGGGGTGTTAGTTCGTTTGGCCTAGTCTATCAGTGTCACTCTGACATTCCTGAAAAAAAGATTGTATGCATCCATCCATTCAAATGCTGTCAGTGCTCTAGTTGCATAAAATCTTGACAGGCTTCATTCCATTTTGGACAAAGAAACAGCATTTACTTATTTATTTATTTCTTTTCAAGGTAGGGTTTCTCTGTGTAGCCCTGTCTGTCCTGGAACTCATTCTGTAGACCAGGCTAGCCTCAAACACAAAGATCCACCTGCCTCTGCCTCTGGAGTGTTGGGGTTAAAGGCGTGTGCCACCACCCCCAGCAATGTGCATTTAACTTTAAACCCTTTTCTTTGACATCATAAGGTGTTTAAGTGAATAAAGAATTAAAATTAACATTATATATGACATATAGTTAAATTAAATATATTGTTAAATAGAGGGTCTACTCTTGCATCCACTACCCAAAAACTGAAATATTTTAAGTTGACCAAAACCTGTGCTGTATAGTCAGTCCCTGCTTTTAATCGTATATATTGGGACACACACGGTCTTCTGAAAACAGACAACGCAGCCTGAGGACTGTGTGAAGCAAGGCTTCCCAGGATGCTGGGAGGGCAACAGACGGGAGCTGAGTACTGTCCTACAAGTGAAGGGGATTGCAGTATTTTCTAAAGTAGAGAGATCTGATTTAGAGAATCTAACTTGGCAGCCATGAGGTGGAAAATGCATATAACAATATTGGAAAAAACAAACGCAAGATCCACTAAGAGAGCTTAAAGACGGAGAAAACAAAGTCTTATCTAAAGTAAAATCAGAAATTATTTAAAAATATTAAAAAAAATAAAGTAAAATCAGCCAAAACTGATAGGTTATATTTTGCAAATAGCATTAGGTGAAACCAGGAAGTACCCCCTACATTCAGTCCTGAAAGCCAGACTGAAAGAGTGGAGGCAGGGGCCCCAACTGTGGAGTAGGTTTGGGGTACAAGGTCAATGACAGGAAAGGTGGGGCCAACAGGCACTGCTCTTTTAAATGACTGTTGTCCCTTTAAGATCCTGCCCTCCCCCCTTAACCCAGCTAGGCCCCTGCTGGGTTTCCATGCCCTAATTTACAGAAGCAGAGCTTCTGAGCATGCGGCTCAAGAAAGAGCCAGGCTAATTAAAGCTCTCCTGAGGTTCAAGGTATTGCATCTGTGGCTCTCAGCAATGAGTTCCATTTTGAGCACATATTTTTCCCATCCGTCCTTCCGTCCCACACTCATTTTGTTAACTTTAAACCCTTAAGTCTTTTTCTACCATAATTTTAGAATACCTGTATCTTTTGTTTATAAGTCAAGAACAATATACATTGTCTTTTTAATAATTAAAAAATAGAATAATGTTTGGAATATAGTGTCTACTAAACATCCTTTGGTCCATGACAG